TGGAGGAGGGAGGAAGGAAACCGGCCAGAATCAATCTTCCACAGGCAGTCCCGCGGGCTTGGAGACCGTGTGTCAGAACTGGGATAGGAGCTGGGTTTTATGAGGTCTGAGCAAGGAGGCAGAGGTTAATGAAAAAGCTACTTGGTTGGGCCCATGATGGAATGTTTATAGCCAGGCTTAGATAGTTTGCCCTGCTGGAGTCAGGCAGTCTGCACTTATCTTTGATGGGTTGCCTGGTATCTATGTGTATGTACCTGGGAAAACAGAGTGGGAGTCAATCCTTCAACCTCAGTTTCTATTTCAAGGCCTTTAAAACACCTATTGTATGTCCCAGATTCAATTTCTATTCCTTGGCAAGAATTACCTCAGAACATCTTTGTCTCTAAGATGAGTTATCATTCCCATAGTACAAAGGAAAAAAAACCAAAGGCCCAGAGAAGTTAAGAAACTTGTCTTGGGGGTCACACAGTTAGAGAGTCACGTGTTAGGTTCTGCCTCTGTATTGCTGAGGAACAAAACGCTCTTTGCAAGTAATTCCATTCTGTTGTCTGGAAGCAACAGAACCCACCCAAAAAGTTCATAAAAGGCACAGCACATCTTCTAAAACACACACAGCTATGCAGTCCCTACTGGTCAGAGATAGAATCTTTTCTAATTTGAGAAGATTAGGAAGGTCCCTGGGGGTTCTATCTGTTGATCTTGGCTCTGACCCAGGACAAGCCAGCCTGGCCTGGATCTCATTCTAAAATCCTTGCAGCTGAGTCGCTATTTGTGGAGGAAGCATGTGACTGAGTGAGCAAAAGTACCTGGGCTGTGGCCTCCCAGCATTCACTCACACACACTCACACACACACACACACACAAAGGGGCAGCTAAGTATGTGTGTGCAGTACACACATAATACACACACACATTCACACAGTCACCCCTTTCCCCAGGCATCTATTATTCAGCTTGAAGCTGGAAATTCCCAGCCATTCATTTCTGTGTTTTTCTGTCTGGCCTCACCCTTCTGGGAATGTCCAGGAGGCAGAAAGGAGGGAGTGGGGATTAGAGCCAAAGGCCCAGGGGAGAAAGAAGGACCTGGCCGGCTTCTGCCAAAGGGTTGGTCACTGGTTATAGGTGGGTGGGAGGGCAGAGACTTGTGTAGAATGCTGTGACACCCTACCCTGGAAGGCAAGACGTGGTGGAGCTGGAGGCAGGGGAGGAATGGGGTTTCTGCAGCTTGAGGGTACAAGTTCCCAGCGCCCCCTCCCCCCCCCCAACCCCCCAGATGAGCAGTATGAAGTGAGTTTCCAGAACTGGCAGCTCACATGACCAGAAATGGCACCTACGATTCACATTCTGGAGAAAGAGTGAGAGGAGAGGTGCAGGTCACAACACAGATAGAACTGCTGGGCACTGGGAGATGTTAAAAAATGATGGCTATTGTCCTTCCTGTTATTGGATTATCACCTTAGTGGTGAGAATTGCTTCAGCTAGTTCAATGCGCCTGCAACTGAAACTGAAAAAGAAACCAGAATACACACACACACACACACACACACACACACACACACACAAACACACACACACACACACCACTTCCCAGCCAAAAGGCTGGCCAGCTCCTTATTCAAAATCATCCCCTCCCCCCCCCCCATGTTTCCTGTAGGGTGGAGTGGGTGAGGAGGTGGGGCGGTGGCTGTGGCCTGCTTCTTCCAGTGAAGGATGCATGAGCTAGGAGTCTGGGCAAAGCAGAATGAGCCCCCCACTGCCAGGGGACAGCTTGATATCAATCACAGATTCTCCTAGAAACCACAAACCCAAACCTGGGAGGTGGTGAGGCCGGGAGGGGCTCAGCAGGCAGCCTCATTTCAGGGACCAGCAGGGAGCAGAAGCAAAATCCTGTATAAAATCCACTAGGGTCTGCCATTGAATGGCTTTTTTTTTGCCAGTCTTAAGGCTTGAACTCAGAGCCTGGGCACTGTCTCTGAGCTCTTTTTTTTTTTTTTTTTTGTCAGTCATGGGGCTTGAACTCTGGGCCTGGGTGATGTCCCTCAGCTCTTCAGCTCAAGGCGAGTGTTCTACCACTTGAGCCACAGTGCCACTTCCGGTTTTCTGGTGGTTTATTGGAGATAGGAGTCTCACGGTCTCTCCTGCCCGGGCTGGCTTTGAACCAAGATCCTCAGATCTCAGCCTCCTGAGTAGCTAGGATTACAGGTGTGAGCCACCAGTGTTGCCAGTCATGAGGCCTGAACTCTGGGCCTGGGCGCTGTCCTTCAGCTCTTCAGCTCAAGGCTAGCGCTCTACCGCTGGAGCCACAGCACCACTTCCGGCTTTTTCTGCTTATGTGGTACTGAGGAATCGAACCCAGGGCCTCGTGCATGCAAGGCAAGCGCTCTACCACTGAGCCACCTTCCCAGCCCTCTCTGAGCTCTTTTGCTCAAGGTTAGCCCTCTACCACTTTAAGCCACTGTACTCAAAATTCCAGTTTGCTGAGTAGTTTGTTGGAGATAAGATTCTCATAAACTTTGCTACTGGGGTTGGCTTTAATCTGTGATCCTCAGCTCTCAATTTCCTGAGTAGCTAGGATTACAGGCGTGAGCTACTGGCACCCGGCCCTGCCCTTGAACTGCTTTTGATGGAGACTCGAGGCCCCAAGAACAATATCCTTAAGAATAACCAAGACAATGGCATTGGATAAGGCATGTGGCCAGGCACCTGGGAGAGGGAATAGTAGAAAACTAGTATCCTGCGTGGGCCTGGGCACCACTGCCAGGCTAGGATAGAGGACATGGGTCATGGGTCAGATCTTTTGAGTCACCTGACAGAACATAGGAAGGTGAAATTTTGTATGCAGTTTTCTTTTCTTTTTTTTTTTGGGTCCAGTCGTGGGGCCTGAACTCTGGGCCTGGGCGCTGTCCCTCAGCTCTTCAGCTCAAGGCTAGCGCTCTACCACTTAAGCCACAGCACCACTTCCGGCTTTTTTCTTTTTGCTTATGTGGTGCTGGGGAATCAAACCCAGGGTCTCAGGCATGCAAGGCAAGCGCTCTACCACTGAGCCACCTTCCCAGCCCCGTATGCAGTTTTCTAACAGTAACATAATCCTCTAATTTTTAAAAATACCATATAAACATCGAAGCCAAGAGGTTCTAAGATGATAAGGTGTTCTTATATGCAATAAACTTTTTGTTTTTGCTGGCCTTGGAGCTTGAATTCAAGACTTGATCACTGTCCCTGAGCTTTTTTTTTTTTTTTTAATAGGGCTTGAACCTGTGTCGAGGCTCTGTCCCTCAGCTCTTCAGCTCAAGGCTAGCTAGCTACCACTTGAGCCATAGCACCACTTCCATTTTTCTGGTGGTATATTGGAGATAAGAGTTTCACGGCTTTTCCTGCCCAGGCTGGCTTTGAGCCGCGATCCTCAGATCTCAGCCTCCTGAGTAGCTAGGATTACAGGCATGCGCCACCAGTGTCTGGCTGAGCTTTTGTACTCAAGACTAGTGCTATATCACTTGAGCCACAGCTCCACTTCTAGCTTTTTTGTTTTTAAGTAGTGAATTAGAGATAAGAGTATTGTGGAATTAGAGATAAGAGTATTGTGGACTATCGTGTTTGAGTTGGCTTTGAATTACAATCCTCAGATCTTAGCCTCTTGAGTCGCTAGGATTAAAGGTGTGAGCTACCAGCATGGGTTGCAATCAACTGTTAGTAAAGCTTCAACTATGAGAAGTCATTGATGCCAGAGCAATTTCATAATGTCATGGTGTAAAGAATGTGCCTCCTAGAATCCAGGAAGGGCTGTCCGTCAACAGGTGGGAAGATGTGGGCACTTGTGATGCTCCCAACCTAAAAGTTGGCACATGGCAGCCACCAGGAGGCTCATACCAGTCACATCCATGCCCTCCCAGGTCCCTTGGTCTTTCAGCTGATCTAGGAGTGAGTCAAGGCAGTGGTCCCATTTGCTCCCCTGAGTCACTGACTCATCACTGACAGAATGGGTCTTCATGAGGAACAGACATTACACCACAGTGCTACAAGCCCAGAGAGGTGAAGGCCCTAGCCCAACCTCACACAGCTGGGCAGAACAGAGCCCAGACCCAGAGCCCCTGGGATAACTGCAAAATATCTCTGGCTCCCCTACCAGGTCGGGTGGAGACAGGGTACTTCTGCCCTTCCCATGTTCCCTCCCATTCCTAAGTCTGCTCCAGAAAAAGCCCCTGTGTTTGACTCACAAGACTTTTCAATTTTATTAGTAAAATACAAAATGGCACAGACATTGATAATGAGGGCTGAAAAAGCAAAAGGACCCATCAACTCCTTCCAAAGTCCTCCCCAGCTTGTCCTTGACTGCTGGGAGGAACCAAAGCCAGGGAAGGGAGACTCCCTATCTCCAGCAGCCCTAGATGGTTGTCCCAGCCAGGAGGGCAGAGGTGGGCAGGAGGGTTTGCTCCCTTCCCCATCCCCTCCTCCATAGCCCACAGCTGTTTTCATCCACCTGCCAAGGTGTGAGTCACTGGCCCAGCCCAGGAGAGGCTCTGCAGGTAGAGGACAAAGGTCAGTCTTGGGGACAAACGTGATGAGCTGCCACCAAGGGCCCTGAGGAGCCAGATCTGCAGGTCCAACTCTGGCTGTGGGGTGCTGGCCAGACCACACACCTCCAGGCGTGGCCATCTTCGGCCGCCACCAAACAAACCCTGGACTTTGTGCCCACTGCTCCTCCCTCCTCCCCACAAGGCAAAGTCTCTTCCACAAGTACACACACCACTTCTCATTCACCTTCTGTGGGGGCAAAGGTGAGAGGAGAAGGGATTTCCCATCCACCTTCCGTGGGGGCGAAGGTGAGAGGATTCAGAACGTGCTATCAGGAGACAAAAGGTAGAAGGAGGCCAGGTGCTGGTGGCTCACGCCTGTAATCCTAGCTACTCAGGAGGCTGAGATCTGAGGATCGTGGTTCAAAGCCAGAAAACCGGAAGTGGCACCGTGGCTCAAATAGTGGAGTGCTTGCCTCAAGCTGAAGAGCTCAAGGACAAGGCTGCGGCCCAGAGTTCAAGCCCCCACAACCGAGGGGAAAAAACAAAAGTAGAAGGGGAAGGGGACTGGGACCACAGAAAAACCCCTGGCTATGTGGGACCACAGCAAGCCATTGCTGCATGAGTCCCCACACAGATGCCCCAAGTGTGGCCCCCTCCAGCCGCTTACTCCTGGCTCCTTTTACACAGCATCATGGCCTAGAGGTGGGGGGGGGTGCTGCCTCCTGCCCCACCCCACTCCTCATCCTTCTGGAAGGGCTGTGGAGGTGAACAGGGAGTCTGGCCAGGGCACAGAGGGGCCTTCAGAGCTGCCTTCTAACTCCTACAGCTGCCCAGCCTACAAGGTCCAAAGAAGTGCCAGTCCAATGGACATCTGCGGCTGTCCTTCGTGCTCTGCTGCTGAGGGCTGGGAGCTGCATCCAGGGGCTGGATCCAAGGGATGAGTAGTGTCAGTATGTGCAAGTTATTGCCACCTGCCAGCCATCCCTCCTCTCCTTTACAGATGGCTGTCCTGTTGGGTGGAGGGTGGAGCTGGGGCTGGAAGCCTAGTCTTCAGACAAAGCAAACTTTTACTACCAGGAAAAATAAACAAAAAAACAAAACAAAACAAAACACCACCTCAAAGCCACCAAACACTCTCATCTGGCTCTCTGTGACACCAGAAGCTTTGCAGGCAGCAGTCCCAGGACACACAGCACTGGCCTCATGCAAGACAAGACAGGACCTGGGTTGGGAGGTGGGTTCTGTACAAGGGTCAGGAAGAGAGAGAGAGATAGCACCGCAGCTGCCCGGGGTGGCTGGCGACTGCAGCAGGACCAGGAGATGCAGGAGGTCTCGGGGAAGAAAGGGGTCCTGGAGGAGGGGCCGGGCCAGCTGCTTCTTTGGGAGATGGGAGGACCACGTGCTCATAGGGTGAAGAGGATCAGGAGCTGGGCAGTCAATAAATAATTGTTCACTGGGGCTGGGATGGTGTTAGGGAGCCTCTAACCAGCCAGCAGCAGAGGAGTGTGCAGGTCTGGGAGCATCGAAGGCCACCTCCTCTGCCCCTGGTAGGTGGAGAAAGGTCAAGGGTGGCCTCCTGGGCCACCCCTGGGGTCTTGGAGCAGCTGGAGGACCCTGGCTCTCCATTCCTATCATTCCAGCTCAGTCCAGGCCCAGGGGTGAGGGTGGGAATGAAGGTGGGGGGGCCCCAGGCACCTTCTGAATCAAACAACAGGATGCCAACAGGTGGACTGCTCACACTGGCACCAGGACGTATGAGTTGCTGCCACAGCTGCGGGGGACGTAACGAAGACCTTCCACCATCTCCCCCGCCATCTTGCGGGGGCAGCCCTGAAGGCTCTGGTAAGCAAACATGGCCACCCCCAAACAGAAGAGGAGACCAAGGAAGGCCAGCAGCCCCACCGCCTGCCTCCGGGTGGCTGCCTGCGAGTCGGGGACAGGAGTCATCAGGACACTGAGCCTCTGGGGGTCTGCTGTGGCATGGATGGGCTCCTCAGCCTTGGGGGACCAGCTACCAGAAGCCACTGGTTCCTTGCTGGGGGCCCCTTCAGAGGAGAGGGAGTTCACAGAAGGATGAGCCATACTACCAGGCACCCAGTCCTGGAAAACACTGGTGTAAGCTGGAGCAGGACCCATCTCTTCAGGTTCCAGAGAGTTCTCCGGGCTGGGGCTCTGTTCCTGGACCCATACTGGTTGGCCTACAGACCCAACATTCTCCTCTGGGGCTAGCTGTGAAATGGTGGGGGTCTGGATGGAGGAGGCCTGAGTGGAGGGGGCCTGGGTGGAAAGGGCCTGCAAGGAGGGGGTTTCAACCCGGAGGCCGGAGCCCTGCCACTCCATGGTAGTAGACGTGGAACCTGCATTGGAAATCTCAGTGCCCTCAGGCCTGCCTATAGGCTCTCCATCGTAAGCCTGGGACGTTGGGGGCTGCCCGGTCCTCAAGGATGTAGTCACTTCTACCAGCAGCTCTGGGGATGTCCCTGTGGGCCTCCAGGCCTCCTGGGAAGAAGCAGTCAGCTCGGAACTCTTGCTCTCCCCGGTGGCGGCAGCCTCTACCATGGCAGGCTGGGGAGGTCCCCTGGAGGTGGGGTTGGTCCCCAGCTTCACCACACCGATTTGCTTCTCAAATGTACCACCATTCTGACTCAGTGTAACCGCTCTCTCGTCCAGTTGCTTCATCGCTTTTTGGACCCACGGCTCCTCTGGGTTAGCACAGAAGTGTCTGTGTTCTATTGTCTCCAAGCTACAAGGGAAGAGGACAGGGATCAATGATGCCCAGAAACCAGAAAGCCTGGCTGAAGTGGTATGGGGCCTAGGACAGACATTGTGCACATAAGCAGACCTAGCTGGAATCTCAACCCCACTTACTAGAGATAAAGCTTGGACTGCTCAGCTTCTGAGGCCTGAGGCCTCACCTGAAACATGGAGTCAGGCTTGTCTACCTTGGGAGACCTGTCACCCCAGAAGAACTAGGACAGGGGTATTCTCAGGAGGAAGAACTCTCTGCCTCACCTCCTCCTCCTCCTCCTCCTCTTCCTCCACCTTCTCCTCCTCCTCCTCCTCTTCCTCCTCCT